AAAATAACAATTTTATTACGTTATAAAATTATTAATTTTACAATTGTAAACATAACAAAAATTTTTACAAAAAAAATTATAGCCTAGATATCATATTACATACCAGTTAGAGGGCTTGCATATATAGTAGTTAATTAGAACCTTTTTACAAGGTCAAAATCTCTACCAAGAGTAAAATTGTTTACAAGATTATTATACTATTTAAGGAATTTCAATAGAACTATTATAGACTATGTTTTCAAAATATTCTTTAAAACCACAAACAATTTACAAATTATTTTTTATTTTTTTAAAGTTATATTTCAAAGTAGTATGTGAATCTTAATAAATTACGTTTTTTAATTGTAAAATATTTTTCAATCATACTTTTAAAACATATAATCAAATCAATTTTTGTATAAAATTATTATATTATAATATTTTTTTTTTGTTAAATAAAATTTGAAACACAATTTGTTCATCAAATTAATGGAATAGTTGTTCGAATTAAACTCCTAGATAGTATATTTAATTGTTTAACCAAAAATTGCGACAACGAGTGGTTAACCATGATTGTAAATGTATTTATATATAATCATCCTTATTTACTACTATATTGTTGGTGTGAGTATAACACGGTTAACTGTAATGAACTTTCATGCCCAACACTGACCACATACCTTTAGAAATAAAATTATGTGATGTATACTGCATACTTCAAATTCCATTATTCCTATGGTTTGCGCAAACCACGTTTTATCGGATCCAACAATTTATTCATTCACACCCTTATTCCACCTAACTAGTAAAAGAAGACATACTAAGCCCTTGGCTTTATGAATGATCCTTCAGACTAAATTAAAATACTTGGAAAATAAACATAGCTCAATAAATCCAATATCTGCATGCTCAAAATATACTTTTTTTTTTCATTATTTAAATATTTAAATATTGGAATATGTAATTTAATTTATATTTTAGGAATATATTATAATATATAATTATAATTCATGATTGTTCATAGAAATGGATTCGTTGCACTATAACTTATAATTTTATAACTTTTAATTATATTTGTGTTTATTCATGCAGAATTATTTATTGTAATAAAACTGATTATTATAAAAGTAAAAAAAATTGTTTTTTTTTGTATAAATAAAATTATACTTAGTAGAATATATATCATAAATGTGAACATCTTATAACTGTATACATTAACAATAAAATATAAATAAGTAATTATAGGAATATGTGAATTTTTTTTTATCGAATTCTAAAAAAAAAATAAAATTTCGAAAATATTTCCTAAACGGTTTAATTAATTGAAATAAATCTTGTGGTGAACACTTTAAAAGCTGGAGTTATACTAGTAGTATTTATAAATATTTAAGTTCAACGGTAAAAAATATAATCTATTGATCAAATTCAAGTGGAACTTAGTGTTCACTTTCGAATGAAAAATATGTTTAATAATCATAAAACAATATTGAGTTTGGGAAACAAAATATTCTTATAAAATCTAGAAAATTGTTAGGTCTAATTTTTAATTTATTTTAGAAAATAATTATAAAAATTTCCATATAGAACTTGTATAAAAATGTTGATTTTTTTTAATACTTGAAATTATCCAAAAAATAATATTTTATACATTTTAGAGTCATAAAAATAAATGTTCTGTTATTCGGTTGATAATTAAAAAAATAAAATTTAAAAAACTAATAAATAACGTTTTATAGTATAACACAGCGGTTCCCAAACTTTTTTTCTGCGGTGCCTTGCTGTGAATAACATAAAAAGATAAAAAAAAAAAAAAAAATTGATAACTAATTTTATCAATTTTATGAATATTTAACTTAATTATAAATTAATGAATTTTTAAACGTAAAAATTAAATAAATAAAATTGTTGTTATCATTATTATAATTATAACATAAAAATATTATAAGATTAAAATGAAAATGTCCAAATATACAATAGAAAATATTTCATTATTCGCTATAAAATTTTGTACAAAAATAATAAGGAAAAAAAAATCTAAACATTTTAAACTATTTGTTATGAATCGTAGACCACGGTGCCCAGTTTGGGAACCGTTGGTATAGCATATAATCTATATTTATGTAAAAACGGCGCTTCGTATAGGCAATTTAGCACCGTAGGTGTTCTAGGTCGTTTGGGACGAATGCTATTGCATTGATACTGATTCCATGTTGTTTTAAAATTTAAATTACTAGTCCAGCAATTTTTCTCGTGCATCCCTGTATTTCATTCGAGCAAAGGAATTTACAATTATTTACATCTAAATTAATATCTGAAGTAATGTTTGTTGTGTCATCACTAGTATCGCATACTACTATATTCCATGGGTGTGGGTACTTACCAAAAAACACTATTTGTTTTCTGTTCATTTTTAACAATTGTAAAATGTCAGTAATATGTATTAGTTAACTATTTGAAATGTTTGCAGTGTCATCCTAACTATAAAAAAAAAAAAAAACGCCATAGGATCACAACATTTGTTACCTTTTCCCCTCCCTCCCATTTTTATTTTATAAAATTGATATCGTATTTTTAGTGTATAATTTTCTTCATTACTTAAATGTGTTAGGTTAAACGATAATATTATATCCTTTGATAACATTTATGCATTATTGTAGAAACATAATACATGACTCAAATTATACAAGTACATGATTAAATATGATTTAATAGCTTAGGTATAATATACAATTTGATAAGTAATCATCTTAGATATTTTAGAATAATATCTGTCTAAAAAATAACACTGAATTTTTCTCATTATCATCAGTTTTTATGACACGTCCTAAATTTATAATACTTTGGATGACCTAGGGCACATTCCTCATTTGCCCCTTTGGAAATGTTATGAATATTTGGTATTAGTTACCGATATAAGGTTTAAAATTTAAGTAAATATGATATTCTAATGTTACAAACATATAATAATCATTACGTGTTAATAATATAAACTTGTAATTAATAATGTAGTAAGTGATAAGAAAAATGTCACTGCTATATACATAATTATGTTTTGAATATATACACGATTCTATACAGTATTATTTTTATCAATTACGTACATTATACAATATATACTATACACATTACATTAGATATTATTATTTATAGGTGATTAAAAAATGTTATGAATAGTTAATTGATAAAGTGAAAAACTTATGATTCTGCTAAAGTTATAATTTAAACGGAGATATGAATCGAAAAAAAAAAACAATTAGGACATAATATAATATACGTATGATATATAAAATAAGGTACTAGTAAATCCTCCACAGCGAAAAAAAAAAAGTTTGCAAAAACAAAGTCGAGCTCTGAGACTTATTTTGTTCAGTTATAAAAAGCATGCGAATCACTTTATATTGAAACATCTGTCAATCTAGCTCAATGTTGGTTAAGCGCATTAATAATTAAAATCTAGCTACAATATATGGATTTGAATAATGGAACAGTTATAAAAGTAAGGAAATGATATAGCGACTTAGTATTACATTCGTCACACCAAAATATCACGGTGTTGCGCGCGAGTGTTATACCTATAAATTTATATTTATGTGTCATTTGATTTCACAAAACCATTAAAAGCAATAACACGAATCATCGCTTTCAACGAAACAATCTGAGTGAAACTCGGTCAATGAAAATATTTGTTGGCTTTAAATCCCTAATGTAATGTACAAAAATCATGTGGACGTAGTTGTCACAACATTATACTATACGGCCGTACCGAATAAACCATTGTTCGATATTAAACGCTACGATATCGTTCGTTCGGTCCGAACGCGCATTTCTCGCGACTCCATTCCTTTATTTGACGTTTGACATCGGTTATGTTATACCGGCCAGTGTTGCGATGGTATTGTCATGAAGATAATTAAAACATTTTCACCCCCGAACGCGCGCGCGAGAAAAACATACAACACTCCGGTGCGAAAATATGAACACGGTACAGAGTATTGTGTGCACGGGCGAAAACAATCGTTCGCGTTCCGTTTCCGCCAGATTAGGCGTCCGTTGTATGCACCGTCACAGGTGCATACGCGCAAACATGATTTATCCGCACTGGAAATACGTTCAACTGCTGCGGTGCGGACGGATTCGACTCGGTCCGTGTTACAGAGCCGAGTCGGACGGCGAGTGACCACCGATCGGTGTTCGATTCGAACGATGCGTGCGGCGCGCGGCGACGGTTTTTCGCCGCGCAGGTCAGCGACACGGTGCACGGTGACGGCTACCGAAAAATCCGTACGGCAGTTACGCGGTCGGCCCGGTGGGCGTAGATCTGAGAGTTTCGCGCGTACCCGCGTAACGAGCGCGACGAACGCGAAGATCAAAGCACGGCGGCGGCGGTGACTGTCGGGGATCGGGAGAACGGGGTGCGCGCCGATGCGTGACGTAGGAATTTTCGACTCGACTTTAGCCGCGGCCGATCGGCGGACGATATCTGTTTATTTATTTTTCCCCGTTCCGGCCGCGCTGCGCCCTCCGAAAAAGCGCCCCGACCGTGGCGGCCGCGGCGGAGGGGTCGTAAGCACGAACAGCTCGCTCTGTCGACGACGGCAGCATTGATCTGCGGGCGGGAGGCAGATCGGCGACGGGTAGGTTAAGACCGTCACACACACACACACACACACACACGCACACACACGTTATAATATATTTATGCGCGCGTATATACGTGTACGCGTGTGAGTGTGTGTGTGTGTGCGTGCGCGCGCGTGTAACATATTACCGCCGAGGCACGTCGGACGGACGTCCATCTGCGCGGCCGGCCGAAGGCGTAGTGTGCGTACGAGCGAGTCGGTATTTCTGTTGGCGTGTGCGTGCAGCGGCCGCAGCGCTGGCGCCGCGCAACGAGCAGCAGCAGCTCCGACGACGGCGGTATCAGCAGCACCGGCGAGCGAGCAGCAGCACCGACGGCGGTGACGGCGGCACCGGTATATCACAGAGCAGCGTTCACCCCACGCACGCACCCCGCGAGCGCATCCGCGTCAACGATAGCGTACGCACGCGCGCGCACGCGCCAACGCACAAGAACATACCCCGATCGGCCTCGGACGCGGACCCGGCGGCCAGTCGTGTGTGAGCCGTCGTCGCGACCGTCGTCCCCGTAACTCGTCCACGTCGTCCACCCGATCCGTCGTCGTCGTCGTCGTCGTCGTCCACGGCCTAGGTGCACTACGGCGCGAAATCTTCGGTCTCCCGCGCTCACGTCGTCCGTCGCTTTCTCCCTCCGCCCGTCGCTCAACCGCTGTCTGCCACGTTTCTTGTCCACATCTTTTCCGTAGTAACCCGTCAACGGTAACGACGAGCCCACCGTAGCGAGGAACAACGCGCGCCCGCCGAGTCGGTTCGCGCCACGCGCGTCGTCACCACCGCCGTCGCCGTCGCCGTCACCGCCACCGACACCGCCACCGCAAGCCGTCGTCGTCCACGCGCGCCTAAACCGAACAAACACACGGTCCGGCGCCGGTTATGGGTGGTCGGCGCGCCGTCGCCGCCGCTGCAAACCGTCCGCGTCGCCGTCACGTCCACGTCCATCACCACCGGTCCGTCGCGTGTCCCGCAACTGCGTCGCCGCGGCCGCTGCTACTGTCCGCGCCACGACAGCGGCGCGCCGGTACCGCCGCGCTAAACGCCACAGACAATCGCCGTTACCGCGACGCATCACCGACCGGCAACGGTACCGGCATCGACGTCAGCAGCAACAGGGGCAGTGCCGACGCCACCAGCGATGACTCGGTGCAACTGGTGGCGGTGCCGCCGCCGTCGGTCCGTCGTCCGACGATCCGTTCGCGCTGAACAACCGGTTGCCGCCCGCCGTCGTAGCTTCCACGCGTGATCCCCCCCCCCCTCCGTCGTCGGTTCTCGTCTGCGCGATGTCGACATCGAAACTCGTCGCCGTGCTCTTCGCTCTGACCGCCGTGAAAATAAAAGGTAATTATTCCCATTGTTCACGTACGCGTACGGATAAAAGTCGACGGATAGTTAATATTTGAGAAGCTTCGTCTTGTAAAAACGTATTCAGGTACTGAAATTCAAGGTAAAAATGATGTTTTTAAACACGGCCGCATCGAGGAGCACAACGAAGGATTTGGTTTCGATCCACGAGCAGTGGGTTCCCCGGACCCCCCGATGTTTTTCCGTACCTGCCCGAAAAACGATAACCGTTTGTGATGTGAATGTAAACTATTGTTCTGAAATGTAACGACGATGGGTGTTTTTATCTTTATTTTTCTTATCACCGCGTTTTAGTGGTTTTATAAAGACGTGCGATTTCGTTCAAATTTTCGACAGCAACTGGTAGCTACTACGCCAGCACCGTCGTCGACGATGAAGACGACGGAGTTACGATGCGGTGGCAACCGTTTTGTACACATTCAACACGTAGTGGTTTTTTCTTTGTCCAGTAACGACGATACAACGATAGTAAAAATAATAATAATAATAGTTTAAAATAATAATAATAATAATGTAATGACGGTTTAGCTGTCACCGTTAGAAAATACGCAACAATCGTTTTGCCGCGGCACGCGTATTCCAACAGGAAAACAGACAGACGTGACGAGATCGCGTAGTGAGACCATACAATAATGAATACTACACTATTGTATACGGATTATCGTCATGCTCTCTATACATACGCACGTCATATCGTCAAAACCGTATTGAGATGAATCGTATTCTAGAGCCCGTTGACATGGTATACGTTAAAACAACAGTAAATGTGTACCATGTAATGAAATGTAAAACAACCGTCGGACTTGGAATTGGAAGGGTTGATTATAACGTATTTATTTTTTGAACGCTAAATCAGTTAAATAATATAAAAATTAATTTCTCGAGGTTTACGATGAAAATTCTTCGAATATGCATTTTTCGTAATTTTTTCCGTTTAGGTGGTTTTATTAATTTTTCTATTTTCACTCTGTTGTATATTAACCGTCCTGTTTAGCCCGTGGTTTTTTTTTTTTTTTTTTAAAGAAAAATTACATATTTTTGTTCAACGTTCATCTGGATCGTAATTCGATTGAAATGAACGATTTAATTCGTCGATTAGTTTTCTGCGAACATTTGCCTCACCGCTCATACACATACACACACACATACATCCGAACACCTCATCATCTGTATGCCAGCAAGTAGAGTTTATGTAACTAAATTCAAATTGTCGTAAAAATTGATAATGTTAAACAGATTGATTCGATACATAGTATCGAACATATTGTGTGAACATATATGTGTGAACATATTGTACCGTTTTTATTTTCAATGCTTACTCAAGTATATATTTTCTCCGCATCAACACGTTGTATATAAACTAAGTACATAGTTTGATATACGAGTAGTTTATTTTTGATTTCGATTAACTTTTGGTAAATTTTAAATGTACACTCCTCTACTAATAAAATATTTCATACCATACCAACCGCACTATGTACGTATACAACCATTTGATAGACATTTTTTGTTTAATTACTCAGTTCATTATATAAGTTTTTACTCAAATAAATGATTCAAAATGTATTTGATTTTAAAATAAGTTTTATTCAAACTAATATTATTAAATATTGGAAAATTATCATAAAAATTCAACTGGTTTATTTATTTCAATATAATTATTTAAGGAAATAGTTATAAGATGCTTCTTTTTCCTTTTTTTCAGATACGTGCTAATTCAGCAATGAAAAATGCAATAAAAAACATGATAATTAATAAATAAAAAGTGATAATCTACTTATTATAATAATTATAGCATTAATTATTGTTTCCCTGAATAAATTTAAACCAGACATGTTTATTACCTATATTTAATGATATTAAATGGTTAAATTAAAAAATACTTAAACTGAAAAAATAAAGGTTTTTTTTTTTATTTTGGTATGAATATAGGATTTTTAAATAATAATATATGGATGGTTATCTTTAAATATTATATTTATAAGGTTAAAAATTGTATTTATTTTTAGAACAATTACGTTGTATCGAACACTTAGTTTAAATATTAAGAAATGTGATGATAAAATCAAATTTCTAATAAATGGTATTTTTTTTTAGAAATAATAGTTTTTAATAATACATTGTAGATAATTTAAAATTAAACTATATGAAGATAATTAATAAAATCACACTTGGTAGTTATACATCACTTTGGAATTTAAATTATTTAGAAAACATTTTTCCGAAGTTACATTAGTCGGGAAAAATTTAAAAATTGATATTAGTAGTTTCGTAAAGTTGTCAGAGAAAAAGGTAATATAGGTTTTTATTTACTTTCTTATAAGAAATTATTCAATTGTGTAATCAGCTTGGTGACTAAAAAATCTGACTCCATCTAATTCTATCAATAAAGTTTCTTTTCCCAATGCCTTAATCAATAAATACTTCATCCTATAATATTTTGTTTGCATATTTATAACATGAATTGTATATTCATTATTGTAATATATAAATGGAACTATAATTTAATAAAATAATACAGGAAGAACGATTAGTGAATATAACTTACTAATATTATAGTAAATTTATGAAACGTATATTATTTTTATTTAAAATATAAATAAAAATATTATTATAATTATACATACGATACATTTTTTTTGAATAAGTTATAAATAAATAAATAGTTGTCACGGCCAGTGTTAGGAGTATGACTGAACTCAAGTTTAACCACTGTGTTTGGCTAATATAGCATTGTCTAAACTTAAGATTGATCGGCTAATCTTAATATTAGTCAACCTTTGGACACTAATCGTAACATAGTAATTAATAAATATTTTTAAATTTAATATCTAACTAACAACACATTATTTTGTTCTTGTACATCACAATCATAAAGTTATATAAATTTAGATTTTTATTCATCTTATATATTATATTATAACAATTTTTTTTTGTTATTAAAAAGTTAAAAATATTATATTAATTAATTTAATTATGTAAATTATGCTCTTTAATATTATTATTTAATTTAATTAAAATAAACCAAAACTTTCAATTAAATAAAAAAATCGGTAAAATTAAAATTACCTACATAATAAATATTGTGGTTCTAAATATTATTTGGATATTTAAAAGTCGAATATTATATAGATTATAAATTTACAATTGGCATAAGGGATATTAATATTTGGATGGATTAGGTCAAATATATTTATCATATCGATGATTGTAAAACTGTTTCACTTAAAATGTACATGTTATAAATACGATGATTACTTCTTTAGTAATACGTTTGATTCACAACAAGTTATCGACATACATTGACGATGGTTAAAAGGTTATATGTTTATTACTAACATATTTTCTTGATAAAATAATATCGTTGATATGTTTTCAACAAAAATATATGTAAATATAATTTCGAATTCCAAATGTTCGTTATAATTTAATAGTTGTACATTTACATTTAAAAGAGCCTCTAAGCTATAAATAAATACCTAACGTCATTTGCAAAGCCAATGATGGCTCTGTAGGTAATATTGGTACGATGCGGTGGTTACTAATATGATGAAATAGTGTCTGAATATTTATAAGTTCAGTTTTAAATTGATAGATGAATGCATGTCATTATACTTACTGATGCATAATACTATGTATATCCAAAACAGAATATAGGAATATTTATTGACGACTTAGTAAATTAAATGCATATGTCACACGTAAAAATAGTTTCATATTTATTCATAAATCACAGATATATATTATTTATAATACGTTGATAATACTATTAAGACAAATAGTTTAGTTATAATTTAGGAAGTTACAATTTTGAGTTAAATTTTCTCATTTTAAATTCATACATAATTTAAAATTATAACTTTTATTATGTTAGACATTGCATATAACTTTATAATAAAGCATTAATCTAAATTTAAAATTACTCACATATTAATTTATATCTAAATTTTGAAATTTGTTTATATTATAAAATTCTTTATACAACTTGAGATTTAAATATAAATATTTATTATTAAACGACACTCATGAAAATTTAAATTTGGCGCATGAAGAGTCATGAACTATGATATTTAATAGATTCAAATTTAAAAAATGTATTTAATATAATGAATTTATTTTATTTTAATATTTATATTAGTTCTGTAAAGAATTTATTTAATATATTTTATAAAACGTATTTAATTAATGACATTGTAAATGTATAATTATGTTTAAACTTTTTAAAAATAATGATTATTAAATTAGTATGGAATACAATTACACTTATAATATATATATTTAATCGTAAATTATATACATATTATATTCCATTTTCAAGTACGTTGTTTACCACTCTAAGACTGGCAACAAGTTTGACACAAAAAAAGAATCAAACAATATATAACTGTCACGTTGGCTTCCAAATCCCTGCTAATTTTCAACATTTGATATCGACTTTCTGTATTTTGAAAACATACCATTGCAATTTTAGATTTTCATTATAAAGATTAACACGGTTATAAAAAAAAAAAAAAAAAAAAAGTAAATATTTATTCCAATGATAACCAATAACTTTTTTAAATAAAAGAATAAACAATATCAAATTTATTATAACGAACTACAATTATAATAATAAAAATTTATAATATCATAAAAACATTTATTGTTATTATTATTAACAGTAAAAAAAAAAAAAAAAATTGATTTAATTTAAATGTAATTTAATATTTTTTTTATTATAGAAGAAAATATGTTTATACAAAAAAATAGTTTGATGAAAATTACTCAATTATCAAAACAAGAACTAAAAAATAATTATTGACCTTAAAAAAAAAATTTATACTATGGGATAAAAAAAATTAATAAATAATTTTTTATGATAAATTTAATTAAATGTTTCATTATTTTATTTACATTATCAAAGTAAACCATTACATATGATAGTAACTACCACGAATCCTATTATTTATTTTATAATAAATTATTTAAAAACAAAA